ATTTGCTACCAAGCGGCGTCGACTCATTATGCTTTAAAAAATAATTAACCGCATCCCATTTTTCATTAAAACAAAATGCGACTCCATTACGGTGATGCTCACAGATTTAATCACCGGGACTTCAGCTACAATATTCAGGACTCCTCATGGCAGCTCTTCTCTTTTTTTTTTTTATTCCCTCACCTACGGAAAATCAATTTCTCTCTGATGTTCTAGGCACAGGAAATTTATATAAACTAGATCAACCCAGCTTTTGTTCATGTTTGTGTTTTTTGCTTGTTTTGTTAACAATCAATGAAAGGTTAGGCAGCATAGATCAATACCTTTCTTCAAATACACGGAGCTCTGACAGGACAGATGCAAAGATATTAAGCTTTATCTAAAAAATGTATAGCAAATCAGATCATTCATGAGATCATTTAGCCTGAAAGCAGTTCTGAAGATGTGAGCTGAAGTTTCTGTTTATTTACCTTCAGCTGACGGTTTGTGTCAGCGCTACGCTGACATGAAACCTTCAAATCTTCGAACTCCGGCTCTCTCAACTTTTGTCCCGTCTGCTGACAGCTGGCACCTGAACATCTGATAACAGCAGTGATGACTCTTCTCACTTTTAGTGTAATTGCCTAAAAACAGTCAATTACACAAGGACGAATCGACTTCCTAATTAGCCGCTGAGTTAATTAAAGCTCAGCAAGTCTGTCGGCGCGCCCTGGATTCATTTGTTGAAACTGAAAGTTTAGAAATCATAAAAGCGGAACCAAACAGACGTGAGCTGCGTTTTTTGGGGCTTAGTTCTCATCATCTGATAAAACTTTGAACATAAGACGCTCCAAAGCAGTTTAACAAGTGGCACAATACAGAAAATGAATGAGAAACATTTTTCTTTAAATATTAAGGTCAAGTTTCCAGTAGTGCTATGGAGGTTTTCCTCCTTCATATAAATAGATTAATAGCTCAGTTTTGGTGATTTTTAGAACCCAAACTGATAAAGCAAAATGAGATTCAGCAAGAATCTCGCTGTTTAGGAGATAAATTACATATTTGGGCTGTTTACGATCCAAATAGATGTCACTGCACAAGCACTCTGAGACAGAACGGCGTAAAAGGAGAGGAAGGGTTTGAAACAGACGAGGAGACACTCGGTAAATACAGATCCTCGGACTGAAACAAACGTTTGACATAAATGGGAAGCTTGTTGCATCTGGGATAGCAGGTCAATGTCAGGCATTTATTTTATGAAACGATCAGAGCCATCAGATTTTTATCTGCAGGTCTTCCTCCTGAAATACTCCATGAGGAAAGGATTTCCAGTAAAAAGTTAATTACAGCTGCTGGGTTGTTGACTCATTACTCAAACATTTTGTGCTTTTACCCAAGGACTAAGCAATCTGCTAAACAACTGTCCTTCGCTCTCCAGTATTTAGGTCTGCTGAGGGTCTGTTTCCCAGATGTTCTGGTGCAAAAAGGAGGAGGACTATCTTGAAATATTTCAACTTAACCACAAGTAAGCAGCTGAACAAGCAAATATTTGAAACATCACTTAAGACTAGGAGAGAAAATCATTGCCAAAGTTGATGTTTTAAAAAAATAATATAAACAGAAAACCTTCTTGATAATCTTTTTTTTTAACATGGCAAATTCAAAATTACATTTACAATTAATTTGTTGCAATCAATAAGCTTCTGGTATAAATCTGGTTGGATATTTGTCTTTTTTCAAGTGTACCAAGATATTTGCACTAGAAACTAAACCAAAATATGTGTTAAGATTTTGTGTTTTTGCAGTGTAGAACAACAGATGCCTAAATGGGGGAATAATGCATTCTCCCCTTGCCCCCCCAAAGATTTACATGTTCTTCGGGCTCCATCTTCGTCAGCTTCAATACTGACCATCTCCTCTTCGAAGCGCCCCTCAGCTCCAACCCTCCTGCACGAAAGCAACGTGGCTCAGCTCCAGTGAGGAACAAACATCTCTGTTTCTTCCTCATTGAGATTTCCCCCTCGTCCTCCCACCGCTTTGACATTTGACAACTGTCACCGCTCTTCTTCTTGAGGAGCTGGGCTGCAGACGCATCGAAAGGTTTATCCGAGAACTGCGGCGCTGCAGAGGCCGGGCCTGCGTGCGTGAGGGTGAATCGCGGCCGTGACCCGCGGGAACCCCGCGGGAGGCTGCAGCTAAACCGACGGATGCTAAAACAGGGACAGAGGGAGGGAGAGGAGGAGGGAGTGCCGGCTTTGGCGAGGAGGAGACGAGTGTACCGTACTGCAGCAATGCAGGAGAACGGAGGAGAGATATGGAGGAGAGGCTGCAATATAAAAAAAAAAAAGACTCAACAGTGCAGAACACATATTGGCAGATGGGTTTAGAGCCACTTTATTATTCATACAAGCTTGCGTACAGCATATCTGCTTCCTCCAGGTAATCCTGTTATGACAGTATCATCTTCTGCTGTACCCAACCAAGGCATGAGGACCTGGCGATGCAGACCCACCCTGCTGAGTCTCACTTGTCTCCTCCCTCCCTCCTGTCCTTGCCCTCTGTACAAACAGCTCCCTCAGGGGGATACACGGCACAAGGAGACACACTTGGGACAACAGGGAAGCTCACCATCAGCTGTGTTGCTTCTTCCCCTTTTGAATAAGGCCAAGAGTCCACAGCAGACACCTTTTTACTATCCAACCATGTATGTAATGTAGGGCTGTAACTAAAGGCGCAAGTCATTGGTTAATAAATTAATCTAAAGATGTGATTGTACTCATCAATTGACAATTAATTGATAAGCAGCCATTTTCCTTAAAAACCCAAGTCTTCTCTTTTATCAAGGGTGGTTGACCATTTTTCCATAATATGAATTGGGCTAATTTTTCATCATATAATTTTACTAAAGCACATATTTTTCTAAAACATTTTCAGCTGTATTTTACTGACTGAATAAACAGTCAGTGTAATACTCACATTAGTTACTTTATACATATTTATAAAATAAAGCCAAACAAGAACCTCTTAGGTTGCTGGACAGAAGAGTAAAACATGAAAAGAATAAAACACTTAATCCTCCATCAACAGAGACATTCAGTTTCTGTCAACAGATTGGACAGACACCGCTCGAGCCCGTCGAGTGTTAATATTTCTAAACAGAACCACCTATGGGGCATTTTGCATCATTTTGCATCTGCTTGGATTGTTTCACTTTCCTGTTCAGGGACGCACTCTCTGCCATCTTTATTTCTCTTACAACAGCTGAGCTTAAGGATGACAAGCGGCACCCTCTGCTGGATGGCGGTCAAACTACAAATCTGACATGCGTTAGCATCCCTAGCTGTAAGGATTCGTAGAATGTCTTGTTAAATTATTTTTCACTGTTTTAGTGGACTGTGTTCCTACTTCCAAACCTCTGGCTTTCCTCTCTGCAGCTTTACCCGTTTTTAGCTCTTGTTAAATATCCATCGATATAAATCAACGTTAATATCTTCCGCCTCCATTTTGTCGCCTTTAAGTTCTTAAATGTTAATGTGGAATGTTTTACTTCTCATCTATTTTTGCATTTTTAAAAAAATCATGTCTCAAACGCGAGTTATGTTTGAAAAGTATTGTATATTATGTCATAAAATGCTATTTAAAAAGGAGCTACTCAAGCAAAAATACCAGATTACTCTTACGATCCGTTAATCGTCAGAATTATTGATAGATTACTTGATTAATAAAATAATTGTTTACAGCAGTCCTGATGTAATGCAATTATTTTCTGTGTTGTCCTTTCTGAGCCCCTGCAAAATGTAAACAGTCTGCAGAAAGGTGCTGCTCATCTTTCACCATGCATCCCGCAACGCGCAGTAAAACCCAACAATGGCCTTTTATGTTTCACATAACCTAATTACATAAATACACATGCAGCAGCTCAAACAAAGCCCACCGAACATCCACTCCCTGCCAATGCAGCAGGAGAGTTTATATACACCCTGCATTGACAGTCAGAGGAGATAATGCACCGATATCCACAGATCTGCAAGCACTCAAGGAACAAATATCCTGCTCTCATCATCAAATTTTAATCCCCATGCAAGTTCTGCTAGTGGGCCAAGTGTGTTTCCTGGAAAAATAAATAAATAAGAAAAAATACACCCACTCAACCTTCAGCCGATCTTTTTAACCTAATGCGTCTGCTTTATTGGATTCCAGCTGGCCTTTACTCACAGCAACACAGAGCAATAAGAGTTGTGGTCTGAGGAAGACGAGGGAGTGAAGGACAAAGTGGTAACGGTGAGAAGGTGCAGATCTTAGAACTGTCTGTCATGTTTGGTTAGAAGGTCTCAGCTACCAATCCTCAAGCTGAAAACTCTGCAACAGTTTGGTGCTAATCTGCAGACACACTGGAGACTTTCCCTGCAAAAAACAAAAAATCTCACTTCTGAGTAAGTGAATACCTGTAGAAATATAAATAAACTGAATGTTTTCCTCATTTAAAACTAAACTGAACACAAACTGAAACCGACAAGCGAATACTTAATCGTTGATGCAGCCCACTGCTGCTTGATGTGTGAATGAACATCATTTATTTTTCTGAATGAATGATGTGAGATTTTTCATCTGTTTGTTACACAAACAGATGAAACATTTGCTGATGGTAACAAACTGCTTCTCCGTGGCAGAATAACACTAGTTTCAATATCCGGCTGGCTTTCCGAAACAGTACAGGCTGAAATCTTGGCTTCAGAATGGATCAAGAAATTTCCCAGCTGACCTTTAAAAATGACTCAACAGGTGCAATGCATGATGAAATTTCAGAAAAGCCTGACATTGCTGGGGCTCATTACTGTCACCCATCAATAGGCCAAACACTAGCTTGATCACGGTTCGATAAAATATTGATTTTCGTTTGAGTTTGTGAAATGGCAGAGAAATCAATAACCCAAACAATGAGGAATCAATTTGTGCATGTCACTGTCTTTTACCAACACACACGCACAGACACACACAGGGAGGCATGCAGAAACGCTAACCTGTGGAGACAGGGCAGTGGTGGTCTGGGTGAAGAGCGTGGAGTGGGCTGCTGACCGTAGGCCATGAGCTCTCCTGACAGTCTGACGGGTGAAAGTAGCAGGCTGCACCTCCTGCAGAAGCAAAGACACAAATACACACACACACACGTGTCAAGTTAAGGAAAAATCATCGGCTCAAAGAAAATGAGGCCAGCACAGACCCTTGCAGATATATTCACACTCAAACTTTCTCTCATTTTGTCACATTCAATCCAATGATTTTAATTTACTGTTGGTCTATGATAGACCAACTATTATTCAGTTGTGTTTAACAGTCAAGTGGAAGCAAACGGGTCATACACTTTGGTCTTTTCTACCAACTTTTAGTATCTAGAAACTGATTCTTTTCTTCTTTGTAAACCAGCTCAGTCAGACCGTCTGAAGAATATCTGAGAACATTAAAGATCTTGCCACAAAATATCTTCTGAATTTAGAGCTAGACTTTGATTAGGCCATCCTAACACAAGTATGCTTTGATCTAAATGATTCAAATGTAACTTTGAAGCTGCAATTTGGGTCATTAAGTTCAGTTTTCCACACAAATAGCATTTTAGATGTATGCCATAAAGTTGTATTTTGACCTCAGCTGAACAGAACTACGTCTACATGTTGGATGTGTCGACTACATGACCTGTGGCAAACTTCAGATGGGACTTCTGGATTTCTGTCAAACAACTGCTCATCTTTCGGCTTTCCCGAATTATTCTGCAATGATCTTTCCATCAGCTCTCACCAGTTTCCTCGTTAAAAGGGCAGTATTACATATTTTTCCAGCAGACAGTTCCATTTTAGAGCCTTATAAGGTAACTATTAACCTTCAGTTGTTTTAAAAATATCAAACATGACTTCAAAAAACCTGACTTCACCATTCAATTTCTTGACATTGGGCCTCTGTCTCTTTAAGGAGCTTCTGCTCTTTGTGACATTTTCCCTTTCAGCACGTCATCACAAGGAGAACCACCATTATGCTGTTTATAAGGAACATTGGACTGAGACGTAGTTCGTAAGGCAAGTTCAGCAGATGTGCAGTTCCACCAAGTGTTTGCCAGTTGCTGCTGCCGCTAGTCTCAAGGAGCAATAGTGGGGATAATGTGTTCATTTTGAAGTTTTTTTTTCCACCACATGTAGGCCAAAATGTTTATTTTTATGTCATCTGACATGCTCCTTGATCTTCACAATGTTGTTTACTCTCTGTAAACAGCATTTTACTAAATCATTGATTTCTGAAAGCTGTTGGTTTCTTTCACATTTTCATTTGTAAAAAAAAAGAAAAAAAAAAAAAAAAAAAAAAAAAAAAAAAAAAAACTGCAAAAACATTTTTTGGTTTTTGTGAGGCACGGGGAAAAAACGATTTATACGGTGGCTT